CCCCCCCCCCCCCCAATTTATTTTCCCTGCTGTAGCAGTGAGAGAGGGACAGATTCAAGCTAAACACACAATAATTAGATTCTGTTAATGGAAAATAATAACAAATTCCATATATTCTCCATATATACAATCTGATTATTGGTGGGTTGTCTTATAATCAGGGTCACCTTCTATTTGGGGAAATGTCAGTTCTTTTGGTTATCAGTTTTGTGGGTGTTTTTGCCCAGGTGTAAAAGCCTGTTGTTTCAATACTGTAGTCTTAAGTTACAGTCCTGCAGCCAGACTTAGCTAATTATTTGAATTTGCTTCCTCAGTAGCTGGTACTGGACATCAGAAGACCAGAAGTACAAATTAAAAGCATTACCATTACTAAAGAGGCATGGATACATGTTTGAACTATTTTGCAGCAGAAATGTTAAATATTGCCCATATGAGGATGGGCTGCTTACTAGTAATTTCCTTTCTTCAGGTTTTCCTGCCTATTAACTATCAATTGCTAATGGATGGATGTGTTAATTCTGCAGACTGTACATGATGGCAGACAGTTTATGAAATACATCGATCCAAATTTAGGCATTCCTTTGCCAGAAAGAGACTATGGTGGTAACTGCCTTATTTACGATCCAGGCAATGAAACTGATCCATATCACAACATCTGGGTAAGAAACTGAAATGAAAGAGCTCCTTGCCTGTGAGTGTTACTGTTTTTGTGTAAAATGGTGTTCAGCTGAATTCTGAAATGTGCAGTCTTGCCTTACTTGGCTTAGTGCTGAATCCATAATCCAGTTCTGTGTTTCTTTTAGATTTAGACTCTTACCTGCTACCTTCCTTTTTCCTTTTCTCTTTTGACCTTCACAAGTGATCAGATCAAGACTACGCATCTCATTTGTAACCTAATTACCTACTTGGGGAGAAGGGGTAAATTATTTAAGTATGTTGCTTGCACTTCAGAGTATTGATGTAAACCTACACCAGTTCCTCTGTTCTAATTGGAGTTAGCTCTCTTTATATCTGGCTACAAGTTGCATGTTGGTGTATAGCCCCAAATTGTGTCCTATGGAATCTTCACCTGATATTTAAGAATCTAACTGAATTTTATTCCAAAGTTCACAACCAGAGGCATAAAATCTAAGAGCACAGGACTTGTGGCTAGTATATTTGTCTCCAGAATTGGTCTGGCAGCTTTGTAAATGAGTGGGTGGAAATCTGTGGATCCATCGCACAGACCTTTGTCATATCAGCTCCCTGAGTTATTGACAGCAAGAGGTTGTCATAATCTCTGGATCAGTGCCAGAGGAGAATGAGGCTACACTTTTCCCAGTGGGTTTCCAGTGCATTTAAGGAATGATGGCACCCAAGAATCCTGGGTTCCTTTTGGAGTGGGGAGTAGGATTTAGTAAGGAAAGATACCTTTCTGCCCTGTCCCACTGTACTGGGATTCTGTTACCATGGTCCACCTCTCTCTCTCTCTCTCTCTCTCTTCACCATCTCCAGGCTGGCCAAAAGAATGAGTCGGAGACAAGGAGCGAGTTTTCTTACCCAGCCAATCTTGTGTCACATTTTCCATTCCTGTCCCTAATTGGGCTTTCTAGTATTACTTTAAAAAACATTGCCTGGGTATTTGCAGTTTTTAATTGGTGCCAAAATGATTATGAAATACAGTAAATGCCAACATCCCAGGCATCTGAAGGGTTTAAGGACCACTTCTATCTTTTTTTTTTTATTTTTTCAAGAATGTAAGCCATGGAAAACAGAGTTGTATATACGACAAATTAACCCAATTTCTCTGCTTGGTTTATAGGACAAACTGGATGGATTTGTTCCTGCTCACTTCCTTGGCTGGTACCTAAAAGTAAGAATCAGTCCTGTTTGTGTTCTGACACTTCTGCTACAGGACTATTCTGCTTTTAAAGCTTGACTGCTTCTGTTTCAATGTTACCAGTGTTCAGAATTAATTATAGTTGGCAGTCATCTGTGAACTAGTTTAAATAAGCATCTCTCAAACATATGAGACCCCTTTTCTTTTTTTTTGACAATTTTAGGTCATCTAATCTCTTTCCTATCCAACATTGCATTAACAAGCTTTCATTAACAAGTTTTTTCTTCCACATGGTTGATATTTCACGAAGGTCAGATCACTGAAACAAAAAATATAGAAGTCCATTAATTTTCCCAGCATTTTTCACTCTTGAGTGAACTTTTAACATAGACTGCGGGGAAGATGCTTTGCAGCATAAGCTATGAAAATCACCATTCACCCATAATGATGTACCCATAGAATTCTACAAGTGAAGTATTTCACGCTATCTGTTAGGCTCCAAAGTCATGATTTGAAACGACTCGCAGGGCAGCGTTCTCATAAGTGTAACTGTCAGTATCTGAACAAACAAGGAGAGAGTTCCAGCTACACCTGCTGGAGAAGTAGCACCTGTTAAATATTGTTTAATGTGTATTTAGATCTAAATGTGGCTCTCCTCTGCTCAAGTGAATTTACTGACTAAATGGACCTCACACCAAAGCCCTTGTTTACCCTTTATTCTACATCCCCTTCTAAACAATCCTGCTGACAATTAAATCTCAGCTTTTTTGGAAAGAGAAATTACAAATTTCAGTTTGCTTTCATCCCTGTTCAAAAGTGCAGCTGTTAACACAGCCATGTCTGTTTTCAGTGACCAGGAAAAAACTTAGGATTTTTATGAAATGCTTTCAAATTAACAGAATTGTAACTTACTCTGTATGCATAATGGAATACTTGACAAACTCAAGGAGACGATTGCTTCTTGTAGTCTCATACCCTTGCGTAAGGAGACATTTCTCAAAATGAGGATCCCAATTAGTCATGTAGTGTTTTTACTGTTACAAAAACAAACTCAGGGTTTATGTAGACATAATTTTTGGCACACTATTGGTACTGAAGAATTTTGTTACACTACAGAAACATAGCACATGTGTGGCCGCATGTGCAGCCATTTCTCTGGAGTGAGACTATTGCCACAAAGGTGCCCATTCCAGCTAAGAGACAATAGCAGGCTGCTCCATAACTTCCTTCCCCCACTGGAACTTATCAGTGAGTAGGACACATGTACAGACAGGCTTGCCTGATCAGCTGTTGCTGCAGTGGCAACAGTTGACAGAGCTGCCCACAAGCCACCCATGGGACTTCTCTGCTGTGGATTTGCCATTTTTGTGGCAGATCAGCATTTTCTTGTAGTGCAACAGAGAGCATGAATGCATGAACAGTTGCTTTTTGTTGTGCTAGAACAGCTGATACTGTGTGATAAAAATAACATCTGCTGAAGTCCATAACCATGTTTTTGTAGTAGTATATACTGTTTTTGCCTTAAAGTGAGGCTTTGGATGAAAAGACAGCACAAATGATAATAGGGCCTTTGTAGGAACTAGGGGTCATGGACAGATGTTACGTTTCAGGAGGTACGTAGTTGAAGGGACAGACATGCCTGCCACCTGGAGTGTTAAAATATAAAGGAAACGTCACCAAAATGTTCCTCTGAAACAGGAACTTCTCTGTAGCACTACATATGATGGCTGTATGGTGCATTGTAGCGTTCTGGGGGACAGGGAGCAGGCTGGCTGTCAGTTATTAGACTCAATGACAGGCTTGCTTCCCCATTGGTGCGAGGGAGGGGGAAAGATAGGACACAGGGCCAAGCCATCTCTTGTCACACCTCCTGGATGTAGTAGACCAAACTGCCTTGCTACAACTTGTTACCCTTCCACCTGGGGGTTTCCTCGCTCCTGTCCTCACCAGTAGAGCTACCTTTTCATTAGGTCTTCACAGTGCTGCTGCACTTGTCTGTCCATAGCCAAAGAGTTGGTGTAGGCGTCTATCTTTTAAATCAATCTGTTAAATTTATTTCATAGGAAGAAAGGTATAAGCTGTATCTGAATCAGCTGGGTGAGTGTCCTCTAGACCAGTGGTTCTCAACCTTTTACACACCAGGAATCATTAACATCATTATCAGCTTGCCACAACCCCCTGGCCTTGACCTGCTCTGTCTGCCTGCCCCCCACCCCTTTCCCCTTGGGCTGTTGCATCCGGCCCCCTCCCTCCCTCTCTGGCCCCTGAGGCTGCTCTCACATTGCTGTGTGCTCATCACACCCCCCGCTGCATATGGGCTTTGTGCAGGCTGCCAGTGTTGTAGCCTGTGCTGGAAACCACTCAGTTCCCTGGGACCTCCCCATACCCCTTTACAGTCTTCTTGTGACCCACTTTTGGGTTGCAACTCATGGGTTGAGAAATACTGCTCTAGATAGCTGTTTGAGACAGCATCCTTCCTGTCCATCTCAGGAGTTTTGCCCATTGGATTTGGTTTTAACAAGCACCACAGAGCAATGATTTGTATGCTACCGCTCTAAAAGGAACATGCCTCCTCTGTTCTTCACTGGTCATTAAAACACTTCATACAACAAGGTAACAAAAGTGGAATGTCTGTTTTGGTGCTGAGCACAAAGATGAGCACCTGCATCTTGATTCTGGTTTGAATAATTAAACTCTACTTTGTGTATGTCTCAGTTCCCTGTAGAAAAATAATATTGAAAAATTAAGGACCTCACTCATCACTAGGTCAGCCTTTTGTCATTGGTGATATCAGGGCAGGTGTTTGTTGCACATTATCTGAATAAGCACATTTAACAAGTGCCTACTTTTCATTGGTTTCAAGCCAGTATTTAGTCACCGTAGCTAAGCACATTCAATTACAGCACAACTTAGCTGCAGGAGACCATATGTTGGTACAACTCTGCATGCTGTCAGCCAGCATAAGGGGGAGGAGTGTGACAGAAGGGGATACAGAGCAAAGCATCTCATTCCACAGTAGATTGTGGGAAACGATTTCTCAAAGAAAGGGTGAAAATTGTGTGGCCGTAATCACTGCCCACTTCCACCTTGGGGCAACACAGTTGCTTGATCCTCCTTTTTTGTAGAATTGTGGCACTGCTTTGCTCCTTGGAAGTTGCTCTAGTAATCAGACAGAGGAACCCTAGCAGTGGAAGAAACTCAACTGTGACTTGCACAGTTGCTGGCAATAAGGAGGGTCACTTCTGTTGCATGAATGTAGCTAGGAAAAAAGGACAGAGGGTCTATCCATTTTTCTTTACCTTCCAGTTGAATCATGAACCATACTTTTCCCCCATATTCAAGCACTAAGGAGTTTGGTTCATTATTCCTCCACATAAATGTTGCTTGTAGGACTATAATACCTGAAGAATACTGCTTCCAAAACTGCAGTTGGACCTAGCCATGAAAAAAGCTGCTTGGGCAGAAGGTAACGGTAGAATCTGTTCACTCCTTGACTGTATTCAGGATTGACTCCTTTTGAAGAAATCCCACAATCAGTTATATTTTTAACGTGCACCTAAGTGTCCTCTCCTCATGTCCACATCTTAATTCAGGCACGTGAACAAGTTACTTCTGGGTAAGCTTAGGGTGCAACTTAGACTGCATCAGCTACTCCATAGTAACAACCTGATTTATTTACTCTTGGCCACAGTAAATGTGAGGTAACATATTCTACTTTCATTGAGGGATCCTTGCATTACCATGGAGTAGGAGTTACTGAGGAGTATCTGATATGCTGTATGTTCACACCCGTGCTTCTCAGTAATCTGTGTGATATCCTCAAGATAAGAGAAGCAGCTAGAGAGTTAACAGCCTGTCTGGTGAACTCAGAAGGAGCTTAGGATGAAGTGCAGCTGGATCTCATAAGAAACTGCTACTTATTGCATCCTAAGCAGGACACTGAGGAGAGAGCAAGGAGGGAACACAGCTCTATTGCTGACTTGGCAGAGTTGGGGATTGAGGCTGAGGACAGATGGCTGCTTTGAGAGTTGCATTAAGCAGGCCATGGGGAGCCTTTTGAGCAGCTCTGGACACTGCTAGCTGTTCACTGCTTCCACCTGGTAGCAGAGGCACACAAAACCATATCCATTGTGTGACTTGTATTTCTTTGTTGCTGAATCTTCCCTGCCTGCCATTATTCTTTCTGGTAATGTAAGCAGTGGCCTCAAGATTTTGTTCCGCTGTAATTCCATGGCATCTTTTATGACCAGTGCATCTAGTCAGTTTAAGGGCCATGGTAAACCTGACTTTAATTAAAAAAAAACAACCAAAAAACAAAACAAAACAAACAAAACAAACAAACAAAAAAACAAAACAAAACAAAACAAAAACAAAAAAAAAGAGAGACACATAGGCAAATTATTGTCATAACCTTTCTAGCTCTACATACTCTGCTGTATTTGGGTCTCACAGGCCAGAGTAGAACTAGAGTAAATGAAAATAACCTTTGGGCACAGTATGTTCAAAACCAAATTAGCACCTTGGAGCGTCAGTCCTGTATCTTTGAAAAGATCAGACCAGAAGCTTGAAAATAAGTGCCATGTGCTCAAATATCTTTCCAGGTAGCAGAAGGTCTCTAAATCCATCCTAGGTCTCCTAAAATGTATAGAGTCTGACTTGAGATGACCAGTATTCCTCTTTATACAACTATTTATTTTTCAAAATGGCTTTAGTGTATTATGTAATGAAAGGTATTCTGAAAGAAATCTCTCCCTTTCTTCAATCAGACACTAATGATTCGGGACTGGTGGATGTGCATGATTATCAGTGTAATGTTCGAATTTCTGGAGTACAGCCTGGAGCATCAGCTTCCAAACTTCAGCGAATGTTGGTGGGATCATGTATGTACTACATACCATATTAATCTAAGATGGAAAAAAGCAGTTGGACTGTATGGTGCACGTAGAGCCAAAATAGACACATAAGTGCAGAGGCACTTTGTTACAATGGCACAATATCAGTCACCACAATGTGTATTCATGTCCTATACATTAAAAGTAAATTGGTCAGCTGCATATTCTAACACGGTGAAGACTTTCAATCATCTGTATATTTGTCCTTTTGACTAACTTTATATGGTGTCTTTTTAATATAATGGCCTTGTCTGTCCCTTCCCTTATTTTAAGATCATCCAACTATCAGTGGGTGTGGAAAAACTCTATCAGCAAAAATACTGTGAATTATAAACTATTTTTTTCTATGGAACCACTAGATGTCTGTCTGCCAGAATAAATGTATACTAAAATATATGAAAATGTTTCAGTAAGGCTCTCTGGTGATGGTTTTGATCACAGAACTGATGTGTGAAGAATGCAGATAAAATGAAAGCCTTTAATGTAAAGTCTAAGCATGTGTTTCTTCGGTATCTGCTTAGCAATTAAGAGTATAGGTCAGCGATTTCCAACCTTGCGAGGCTCAAGGCATCTCTTGGAAAACACCAGCTTTTGGCTTTCACTTGCTTTTTGACAGCAGAAAGATAATAGAACAGTTCTACTGTTACAGCAGATTCAGAAAGACCACAGCCAGTCACAAAACATTGTGACTGGCTGTGGTCTTTCTGAATCATTGGCTGTGGTCTTTTCTGTGAACATTTTTCTCTGTTTTATCAATAACAAATGCAGTGGGTTGTCAAAGATGTAATAGGGAAATAAAATTGTTCTTAGATCAGTCAATTAGGACATGTTACATCCATGCACCACTTGAGCATCAGCATCGGATCTGATGACGATCAACTGAGAATAACAGTTTTAGTGCTGGTCTACTCTTTGGTGGAATACTGTGCCCCAGTCTGGTTAAACAGTGCTCATGCTGATAAGATTTACATGCAACTCAACCAAGCAATGCGAATCATTACAGGAACAATCTGATCCACCCCTCTTCAGTGGCTCCCTATTATTAGTAACATACAGCCTTCCCCATTGGGAAAAAAATGCCTTAACTAAATTATGGACTAAAATAAAAAAT